TTATAAAACATAATTTACTTTTGAAATATCTTTTAACGAAATTTTGTTATTACAATATTTTATCAATGATATTTTCTTAAATAATTATTTAATGCATTTTTTATTCATTTATATTATTAAAATATTATACGATATAATATTATGTCATTGTTACCCGTTTACACGTTATACGTTGTCATTCAAATATTTTTCTTTTAGATGAAATCCTCACGTACGTCTATTTACTACTTTCTACTACGTGTGTAGAAATTATTCCTTTGTTTTTAATCGTTCAAACAACGAAAAAAAACAAAGAGTAAAATATACGTAAGACTTGCTAATTTAAAATTTGACGAATTCACGAACGATTAAATGGATTTTGAATATGTTCTGATGTATGTATGTGTATGTGTGTGTATGTGTATGTATTTATGTATGTGTGGTATGTGTGTGTGTGTATGTAGGTGTGTATGTATGTGTTACGACGCTTTACTGATCATATTTCAAGATAAATAATGTGAAATTAAGAAAACAAAGCATAGCGAGTAAAAAATAAGTTGAAGATGAAGGGAAGGGTAAATGATGGATGAATAAAGAAAAAAGCTATTACATACATACTTATTGATATTATCATCCACTTTGTAGCATAAAATAGATATTAGAATTATTTATTACTTTTAATTAATAAATTTAATTTAATCTATTATGCCAAATTTGTTGCTAAAAAAGAAAAACCTTTTAATTTGGCACTTTAATTATTAGCTAACGAATAATAATAACAGTATGATAATATTATAATTCATAGATTCTTTAATAATTATTAATTATTCGATTATTAATTTAATTATTATTTAATTCTAAGAAGGAAATAAATTTTGTATGTTTCATGCGATTTAACTGTTATATTTTGGTGTAAAGTTAATAAAAACTAAAAATTTATTTCATTTGCAGCAATCATTTTTATGTTATCGCAATTATTTCATTACATGAAACAATACTTTTAATCAATTTGTCGAAGAAAATGACAACAATCAAACATATATCAAGTGGGTTTCATTTTAACTTTTATCAACTTTTTATATTTTCCGAATTTCATTCATTCATTTTTCTTCTTTCTTTCTTTCTCTCTCTCTCTCTCACTTTTCTTTCTATTAAATTATATTATTTGTTATTAAAATTAAAATTTTTTTCATTCTACTAATCATATCCAATTCATTATCATTATCTTATCTCTGATAAGGTATCAGAGATAGTATGTTTCTACGTAAACGACCTTGAAAACTTATTTTTTCGTAAATGTTTACACATTTTTCTTTTTCTTTCCCTTAATTATCTTTTTTTTGATCCTATGAGCTATCACCACCTATTTATAGCGAGAATAAGGGACGGGAAGGCAAGCGAGAACGGGGAACGGGGGACGGCAAGGCAAGCGAGAACGGGGGATGAGAGAGCGGGGGAGGAGGAGAGATAGGAAAGAAAAAATGAACTTTTATAATGGAAGAAGATAGTTGTTTATTATTATTATTTATTTTGCTATCTTATTATTATTTATCTATTTTTATTTATTTATTATTAATATTATTATTATTATTATTATTATTATTTATTGTTATTGTTGTTGTTTACTATATTATTGTAAAGAAAAAAGCAAAAAAGCATAATTTATTTATATATTTAAACTTTTTACACAATGTATTCCGCTTTTTGGTCTTATCTTCCTGCCAGTATGATTTATTGTTATTTCTTTTTTTCTCTCTTTTTCTTTGTTCTTTCCTTTTTGTTTTGCGACCGTTTTAATGTATTGTGATAGAACCAGTTGCGCTTCAACAATGCCGGAATAGTAAATAATATAATTTAGATGTTTGAAGTTTTAAAAACAATGGAGAGAGAGAGAGAGAGAGAAAGAGTGAGAAAAAGATGTATTATTATGGGTTATTTCATTCTTTCGATTATTTCTTTGAAAGGCATATGTGTATATTTTTCATCCTTTTTCATTAATTATATATAACATTATTAGTTGTTTTAAAATTTTAGATTTAAATTTTATTTCAAAAGGAAATTTGAATTTGAATTATATTCCAAAGGACAATTTTTGGATAATAATGGCTTGAATTTTATAAGTTTTGCAATTTTGTTTGTTTTTAATACTGTTATCAAATATTGTTTTATTATTATTAATTATTACTATTAACAAACATTGGTATTATCAATGAATGAGTCATTTGTTTAGAATAATAATAAATTATTACAAATATTTTGCAATTTATTTAAGAAATACAAATTTCATTTTAATTTTTATCTTTGTTAAAATCGATTTCTCTACAAATATAACATTTTATCAAACATTTTTTCATCTATTCTACAAAAAAAAAGATTTTAAGGAAACAAATGTGCAGCAAATATATTTTTCTGCAATCATCAAGAGTGAAATGTTTTTTACGACAAAATGGTTGGGTGAATTTGATCGGTTATAACTTTTCCATCCTTTCTTCCTATTCCTTTTTTTCCGTTTTAACTGTTAGATTGTGAAAAAATAGGAATCGAGATATGAATGAGTATTATAAGATGTTTGATAGTGCTTTAGAGAAATTTCATGATTAGAGATTCTAGTTTAAAATGATTATAGGATTAGATATGTTCATTCTTTGGTTTAGAAATATTTTATGATTGGAAATATTCAATTCTGATTTCAGAAGATATCTATATTTAGATTAACTTATTTAAGCCAAATTGGCCTAATGAATTTTTGAAATTGAAAACAATGAAATTTAGTTTGAAGAACTTTTATAGTGCAAAAATGTTGTAAATAAAAAGTTGCTTCAAAATTCATTGCCAATTGCAATATCAATCTAACTGTTAATCAAAATATTTGATCAAAGATAAGATAATAATAGAAATTAATTCAAAATTTTCTCAACCTAAAAAGGAATGAGTGAAATAATGTAGAAAATAAGTTAAGAAATGAAAATACTACAACGAATAAAATTTTTCATTGTTGAAATATTTCGAAAAAAAGCAAATTTCCATCTCTCTCTCTTTCTTTCTCTCTCTCTTCTCTCTCTCTTTCATTTTAATCAAAAATGAATGAATTTTTCTAATTTCAATTTTTCAAATAATTATAATTATTGAAATGGTTCGTTGATTTTTATGCAAAATAGAAAAATGAATTTTTACTGATATTTTTTTTTATCATTTTACTGATAAATTATCAAACGCTTAATAATTTATCTTTCTTATCTTAGAATACTTCAGTTTTGCTAAAGAAATCATATAAAATTGCAAATGAATAATGTGAATATTAACTTTGAAACAAAAACAAAAAGAATAAAACAAAAGAAAAAAGATGAAATTGAAAAATTTGAATGAATCATTTCTTCGTCGATCCCATCTGACAGCCATTGAAAAACTATTTCTTCCTCTAAACATTTCTCTTTTTTACAAATAAAAATCATTTTTTCTTCCTTTTCCTTTTACCAATTTTAGTACTTTCCTTTTCTGGAAATATTTCAATTTCAATTACATAGCATTCCTAATTACTCATTGGAATACTTTTAGTAGTCTTTACTGTTTTATAGTAACGCTATTTTATGATAGCATTTTTGATAAGTCTTAACTGTCCTATCATAATACTTTTAATAAGTCTTAATTGCCTTGACGGAACACTCATAATACTTTTAATAGGATTAATTGTCTTAATGGGCACAGCCTGTCCTATCGTAATAGTTTTGCTAACTCCTAATTGTTCTTTCGTGATAATACTCTTAATGGACCTCAATTTTTTATAACAACAACAAGAGCTTTAATTGTTTTATCACAATACTTTCAATAGTCTTAACTGTCCTGTAGTAATACTTTTAATAAATCATATTTGTTTCGTAGTAATATATTCCACAATCATATTTTTAATAGCCGTCAATTTTTTTGTTTTAGTGCTTTTAATAAGCCTTAATTACCTACGGTAACATTTTTTTATAAACGCTAATTATCCCCATAGATCATTCAATTTGTTTTAATTTTGATTCAGTTGAACATTATACAAATTATTTCTGTCAAAATCTTGACAGAAATAATTTGTATAATGTTTTTCTGAAATTTTTACTATTTTAAATTGTTAGGAAATGAGATGACAAGCAGCATACTGTATGATTTATCCTAAATAACAATTGCTTATTTTGATGAAATAATTTCATTAGCTAATTAATGGAACTGTTTTCATTAATTACACCTCAACTATTTCAATTTTTCGACCTAACCATATGTCATTACCGATGTTTTTACAATGAACTTAATGAAATGCCAAGAAAGCTCTTTATTTCTTTACAATTTTAATATCTCATTCCATTGAAAACTTTCCAAAAATATCAGTTTAATATTGTTTTAACATGAAATTTATCAGTTTTGTTTTTTAATAATTGTAAAATGCTATTTTAGTTATTACTAATTGCTAATTTATATTAATAAAATATTTCTTTTTTTGGCATTATAAAAATGATTCGAAAAACAATTAGCATATTTTTGTTGAATGATAACATTTTTGATTAAATTTTGTTTTCAAAAAATCCATGCATAATGCATGATTTTATTTCATATCAAGAAGAGAAAGAGAAAGAGGGAGAGAGAGAAAGAGAGAGAGAGAGATAAAGTAAAAAAGCTTCTTAAAAGTTTTTATCTATGACAAATAGATAGACAAACATATATTGTAGTATCACGTCGTATTTTATTGTAAAAAGATTTTTCAATTTTTCTAAACAAAAATTTTATTCTTTCGTTTTATTTATTTTTTGAAAAATTTCGTTTTAAACAAATCAAAGAATAATTTCTTTTTCTTTCAGAATTTATTATATAAAAGGAAGAAAAGATAAGCAAAAATTTTATTTTTTAAATAAATAATAAATCATCGTATTTTTAATTTTTGATTTTTCTATTCCATTCCAATTCTATTCTATTCCAATTCTATTCTATGAGCCAAAAAATGATTTGTAAATTTTTAATGGTAATTAAGAAAGAAATTATTTTCAGGTATGACAAACCTAACTGAAGATTTGAAATTGGATGAAAAAGATAGAAATTTATCGATGGGTTTTAAAGAGATAAAAACGATAACAGAAAATAATGTAAAAAGTAGGAAAAATAAAAAATCGTTGGCAACAGACAGACAGCAATGGTCGAATCCATTTGATTTTATTATGTCAATGATCGCATATGCCGTTGGATTAGGTAAAAGTAAAATTGAAATGAAAATAGTCAAAATATATTAAAATGAAATTAAATTTTAGTTTATATAATTAAAAAATTATTAAAGCATAAATTATTTATAATAAAAACAAAAAAAAAAAACAGAAAAGAAAAATAAAATAATAAATTGAAAAGAAATTTGAAATTATTTTTATCGAAGAAAGAATATTTAATTAAATAAAAGTATTGCCTAAATTATGCAAAAGTTTTATATTTCATATATAAAATTGCAGAAATAAATTATTTTTACTGAAGGAAAAAAATTGAATAAAAGTATTGTTTAAGTTATGTAAGTATTATATTATATATATAAAGTTGAATTAAATCATATTATATTATATGTATAAAGTTGAATTAAATCATATTATATTTTCCCAAAAATTAAATCATATCATATTATTACAAATTATTCAAAGTAATGCTAATTTTTTGTATAATCTTATCCAATTATTTAATTAGAATCAAAAAGATTTTTGTAACAAAACTGACATAAATTGTGGAAAATTTCAAAAGCTAAAATATGTTTTTGATTTAAATTATTGCCAAATAATTAATTATATGAGCAGTTGATCGTATTAAATAATTTAACAGTTAATATCGAATTTTTTGTCAAAACTTGTTAGCTTCCTTCCTCAGGTAAATGTAACTTTTACAGTAAAGTGCATTTTACCGTGTTTTATCGATGAGATATTAAATAGCTTTTTTTTGTTTTAAATGATAATTTGAAAATTTTTTAGGCAATGTGTGGAGATTTCCATATCTATGCTTTAAAAATGGCGGTGGTTCGTTTCTATTTTTTGTTCTTTTTTTGATAGTTTTAAATTTGAAGTGAAATTTAAATTTTTAAGTAAACAATAGATATTTTTGAAATAATTAAATGAAATTTTTGCCTAAGGTGTATTTAAAACTTATATTAATTTAAATTAAAATCTGTGTTAATTTGACAGGTTCATTCCTAGTTGTTTACATAATATTTTTTTCACTTGGCGCATTACCTGTGTTTATTATGGAAATTACGATGGGACAATATGCACAGCGTGGCGCTATGGAAATCTGGAATTTATGCCCTTTATTTAAAGGTTAATTAAATTAATATCATAACCAATGAAAACAGTAATTCCATCATTTAAATTACAGTAATGTTCGTATAGGTGTTGGTATCGGTAATGTTGTGATTGCATTTATGTGCATCTCATATTTTTGTGTCATATCAAGTTGGTCTATCTTCTATATGATCAATTCGTTTTCATTAATCTTCCCATGGGAAACATGTAACAATTGGTGGTAAGTTTTTCATTATTTATATTATCGTAACTCATCGTGGCAGATATGGTAGTGTTTCCATTATTGGTATTATTGTAGCTTACTTCGATGGTACGGTATTTTTTGACTATCATAATTTATTTGCATGCATATATGTATATATAATTTTCTTGATATTTTTGTAGCATTTGCAATTGTTCAATTGTAATTTGCTTCTAGGAATGATAAAACTTGCATAACCGGACATGAAGATGCAGCAGTAATATCCGAAATTAAAAAAAATCTGTCTAAATATAATTTAACTAGTGGATCAAGCGTTGAACAATACTGGGAGTTAGTTGAAATATTTCGATTTGTTAATAATTTCCTGCATTATGATAAAATTAATACGATACAATATAATTGCTGATGAAATTTTATTAAAACAAATTTTTGAACATTGGCTTTTTAATTTTGTAATGATGAAGCTGAAATTGAAGCCAACTAAATTTTAGTAATTAATTTTTTACCTTGAAATTTAATAATAGTGGACATTTTTGGTAGTATCAACAAATTAATTTATGGTTTAATAATAGTTTTAAAAAATTGTTCTTTCATTTTTTGCAGACGACGAGTGTTGATGCAAACCGATTCGATATCGAGCTTTGGAGGAATTCAATGGGAACTTTTCGGAATAACGGCACTGTTGTGGGTTATCGTCTACTTCGCACTTTGGAAAGGCATTACACGTGCTCGTAAGGTAAGAAAAAAAAACGAAAATTAATTGGCGTTATTAAAATTATGCATAGATATCAACGACTGTTGTTAGATCATCAGTGTTTAGGGTCTGCTAATTGACAGTTAATGATGCAAAAAAAAGATCCAAATAAGTATTATTTTTTCGAAAACTTTGATTAAATTTAAATTTATATGCGAACTTTTCAGTGGAGTTATTTTACAGGATTATGTAATGGCCTGTTTTGCATTTTTTCGGCCAAGCAATTGCTGATTTTCTGGTACTTTTCCATTTCTGGAATATTGAATTAGGACTAATTTCCATATGCCATTTTTAGTTTATTTCAAATTGAAAACAAAGACAAAGCGATAATTAAGTAATTAGTAATAAGCGATAGAATAGTGAAAAAAGTTGGTGAACAAAGGTGAAATGATAATAAATAGCATTTTTTTTTCTGATTTATAGGAACATACCTGAAATTTGACGAATTTTTTTTTTAATATTAAGAATTAGTTAAGAGGACAGTTTGTAGCAAAGAATCTGAGCTGATGGAGTAAGCATTCGGTGTTGTTCAACGCACGAATATACCCGACGAATTTATTGATCCTCTAAAGAATTTGCCAAAGATGGCAGGTAACTTTTGAGATTGAGTTTTTTTGGAAAAAAAATGAAAACGAAATTGAAATTTAAATTAATTTGGGTAATAAAATTTGATACAATGCAAATGCTATTATTACGTTTAAGAAAAGAGATTGATGGTAGTATCGATTAGTCAAACATTTTCGAAATGGCAACATTTCATCCCTTATCTGCAACAATATTCATCGTCGATTTATGGCTATGAAAATGCAACTAAAGTTGGTCCAAAAAATAAAGTACCAAAAAAAAGAAAGCTACTGCATTTTTCACGTGTGTGTGTGCTTTTGAACTTCTAAATTTCATGAATGTTTAAACATTCCTAAACTTAATTAAATTTCGAATTTCCAGAATAGCATTAAATTTTTTGGTAACAAATCGTAATTGTTAAATGAATAAGAATGAAAGATATTTAAGCTAATTAATGATAATGACAATAAACACAGAAAAAAGAATCTTTCCTAATAACAAGTCTTGGATGTTTAGTTGATTGTGAATAGACCAAGAGTAATTATAATTTAGAGGATTAGATATCTTTTATGATTAGATATCTTCGATGACTTGCGCTGCGTTGTGGGATTTTTCAGATCCTTTGCTAAGATATATTCGAGCCACTTTTTACATCACAATTTGACATGCTTCGTAGTTTTCTTCTCTTTAAAATGAAAAAATAATTTTAAATTTTTATTGGTAGTTCGTCTTTAAAGATGATGGATTCTAGTGGATTTTAGCAGCTTTGTAGATTCCAGCTTACGACGGCATCAATTTTCATCAATCTCCCTAATTAAATGTTCGACTGATATCATTTCATCATTGAGTGTTTTCCTCTTCTTGAACTCTTATCAGTTATGATAAGTAATTCGAAAAATTTTAAAAACGAAATACTGAGAATTTCAACGATCACCGCTGCTTAAGCTATATCGTACAATACGAAATCATAGTTTTTCCGTTTTACGTCGCATTCTGCGATGCATCATTACAGTTTTTCTTTCCTTTCTACACAAAGTTTCGATATTATACCGCATTCCGAATCCATTATAGCAAGCAAATGAGAGCTGCTGGAATTTCATCAAACGATTATCCTAATTCGATCAATTATGGAAATAATTTTCCATCTCTAAGCATATGTTTTGGCATATCATTATTTTCAGCAGTCTTTTGATACATATATTTTAATACTTTTCCAGCATATTCTTCATCTTTTCATTTCGGTTATTCTCTTCAATAATCTATCAATGATTAAATGGATCGAATTATTGGTTTTAAAAAAGAAAAAGAATGGATTTTCTTTTTTAGGAAAAAAGCAATAAATATGCAAATTCATTAAAAAAACATACTTTTTACTGTTGCAGTTTGTGTATTTTTGCGCGTTATCACCGTATTTCATGCTGGCAATTCTACTCATTCGTGGCTTGACATTACCTGGCGCTGAAGTTGGCATTCATTTTTACCTAACACCTAATGCAACAAAATTATGGGACATAACGGTATGGAAAGATGCCGGCACTCAGGTATTCTCTTCTTCTATCTTCTTTTATTTTAAAATAATTTAATATAATTTATGAGTTTTTTTAGGAGAATAAAATTACAATTGTTTCAATCCCAATTGAGAGACTCTATACTAATCGATATTATTAATGAATATAAATTAATATCATCGTTTTGTTGCTTTTTTAACTTTTAATTTTATTTATTCTTACTACAGTAATATGATAATAATTGTGATTGCATATATAAAAGCTTCCTAAAAATGTTTATTTTCATCTACATAATGATCATATTTAATAAGTCGATCAATAAGTATATTCATCTGTCATCTCCTTTTATTGAAACGATCAATACCATTTCTCTCCAATAAGTATCTTCTTAAAACATCAATGGTCAAATTTAAGCTTATTGTTATATTATTAAACAATATCTTTTTGATTTCTTAAAATGATAAAGATAAGTTTAATAATAATAATAACAGCAATAACAATAACAATAATAACACTGACAATTATAATAAAAATAATCATAATAATACTGATAATAATAATAATTAATAATAATAATTGATAACAATAATAATAAGATAATAATAAATTACAATTAATAATACTGGTAATAATAATAATTCGTAATGATGAAAAGTAATAATGTTTAATAATAATAATAATTAATAGTAATGATTATTGTTATACAATGTGCTACTCAACTTTTACTCATTTCATTTCCAGGTATTTTACTCATATGGAGTGGGATTCGGAACGCTAATTGCTTTGGGATCACACAATAAGAGGTCTCATAATTGCTACAGGTAAACATTTCATCATTATATTTTGTCATTATCATTTTTCAAGTTGGCATTTCATCATTAGCATATCTTATAAAACATGCGAGAATAGTGAAATCTTAAAGAGTTTCTAAGTTTGATAAAACATCAATATCTTCCTGTATACATCGCTTAATTTAAAAAAAAGTAGGAAATAATTACAGAGATGGATTTCTTTTGTGTTTCATAAATGGCTCGACAAGTTTGATTGCTGGTAAGTTTGACGAAAATTCCTCTTTTTTCAACAAACTTTCTAATTTTTGCTGTGTTTTACCCAAGAATAAGAAATGGGCTTGTTAATCTTAAATATCCTCTTCTTATCTTTCTTTTGAATATCTATTTATCCTTCTTTATAAGGCAACCTTGAAATTCTAATCCTTTTCGGGCCTTAAAATGTTTTATTTATTTTTTAATTTTTTTTATAGTAAAACCAAGCAAATATATGTTGAAAGTAATAGGCGATTTGATGCTTGTAATTAAATGATACAATTTTCGCTGTTAAGGTTTCGTTGTTTTTTCCATCCTTGGTTACATGTCGGTTATTGTTGACAAGAATATTGCCGAAATTGTTAAACCAGGTTTGAATGTTTCCATAAATTAAGTAAATCTTCTAGCATTTAAAAAAAACAATTTTACCGAAGAAATTAATGATGTATTTGATAGAAATAAATCATCAATTTATCATTAATTTTATATGAGTAACTTTCCAATTCAAATGGTATACCAATTTGATTCATTAATCATAAAATTTAGAGTTTTTTTTACAGGACCAGGTTTAGCATTCTTAGCATATCCTGAAGTAGCCAGTAATCTTCCTTTTAAACAAGTTTGGTCTGTGTTATTCTTTTTGATGATTGCAATCCTTGGTCTTGACAGTCAGGTTTGTAATTTGCAAGTATATGAATGCATTTTATGTTGTCAACGGATCAGAACGGAAAAATCAGCATAATTTGACTATAATTTCAGATTTGCATGTTGGAAGGTTTATATACCGCTATTGAAGACGTTTTCCCATATTTTTTGCGAAAATACAAGAAAACAGCACTTTTTATTACCTGCTTATTCTTCTTTATCCTTGGCACACCTATGGTTACCTATGTAAGGCTTTCAATTTCCAACAAAATATTTTAAAAAATTAATTATATTACGTAATTTTTATTATCGCAATGATATTTCTCCAAATAAGATCTGTTAATATTTTTTTAAACTAACATAGGAACATTAATTTTAACAGATACAGTACTTAAGTCTTCAAGTTTTTACTGTAGATTTTGATTTTTAGATAGTTCACCGTATTTATTCTGTAGAGAGGTCTTAATTTCATACCGTAGATGCATCGCGCTAATACTGTAATTAAATTTTGTTCCATACTGTAGACAGATTATGCGCGTATTGAAGATTGACCTTAATATATACTGTAAATAAATTTATGTGTTCATACTGTAGATAGATTTTCTGTATTTATATTGTGAAATGATTGTGATGTTTATGCTGAGGATGGATCATGTTAATATTTTGATATTGATATTCTAAATCATAATTTCTATAGTAGATTAAATTAAGTATAAATAGGTCAATCTAAATTGAGAACAAAAAGAAATAATGATTTAGAAATTTAAAATATTAAGGCTGGCTCATATTGGTTGACATTATTTGATGCATATGGTGCTAGTGGTATTGCTCTATTGTTTGTCGTATTTTTTGAAATTACTGGACTTTCATGGGGATATGGTAAGTAATATTTTCATTCTTGATCTATTTGAACTGATCGATAATTTATATAATAAATCAATAACACAAACTTAAATCATATTTCATCCTAATAAATTAAATATTCACTAACTATTGCTTAATTTTTACAATTAATCATTCTTTACCAATAGCGGTTTATTTTTAAGGAGCAGGGAAAGTACGTAGTGCTTTAAAAGAAATGATCGGTTTTGAACTTTGGGCATGTTGGATAATTGTTTGGAAATTCATAACACCGTTGGTTATTGCTGTGAGTTTTTATTTTGCACATTGGAATAAAAGCTATTTGTGCCATTTTGATACGTTTGATAATTTGAAGTATTCCACAAACTTATACAACATTTTATTTCTCTTAAACAATATTTCTTCTTTACAACATTCTGCTGATTTCATTTTAAAGAAACGAAGAAAAAATCTTTTCAAACTTTTAAACAGTTTTTAATTGTATGTTAAAATGTGGGAGAAAAATTAAGCATTGTCCATTTATTCGAATTTTTTACTTTCTTTGCTCATTTCCTATTTTTTTACTAATTTCAAAAGAAAAAAAACAATAATTGATTAATTTCAGATTTTGTTCTTCTTTTGTATTTACAAGTATCAACCATTAAAGTATCCGACCGGAGAAAACTTTCCAGTTTGGGCTGAAATATTTGGATTTTTTTTATCATCATGTTCTATAATTGTCATACCAGGATATGCAATCTATTATCTTTTTTCCATCAATCTCGACAGTTCCATCAGTGAGGTCTGCTTTTTTTTGTTGAACTTTAGTATTAACTTTCGATCTTGACAAATTGAAGTTATCATTCTTTGTTAAAGTCTTCTCGAATGATGTATTATTTATAGAACGGAAAATTTAATCAGTGTTTGAAAGAGGCTCTTAATTTTTGAACTAATTAACACTTCTTAAGTCAATTTTCAGCGTTTGCGACGCGGTTTACATCCACCACCTGATTTAGAAACCGGATTGCCACCATCGATTGCTTTTGAACAGCATGATGTTAATTTGAAATATATTGCTTGAAGTTGCACAGAGTGATTGTAATTTCAGATAAATCATAACTACATATTTTAATATATTTTTTTTTAAATATAAGTATTTTTTCATGAACACAATTCAATAATTTTTGTTTTAAACTTTTATTCGTAAAAGAATTTTCCAAATGAATGAATACGATTTTATCATTAAATTTTAAATTATCATTTGTGTATATATTTTGTATCGTTATCAGTTAGAATCTTTTGTAATTACTTTGAAATATATTAGCATATATTATTGATTTTATAATAAGCTAAACTAAAAATGATCAGCAGCCATTTTCATGAAATCTTACTTAATATCTATGAATTTTGAAAGTTATCGATTAAATCGAAAAAAATAAAAATAAGAAAGAAAAGAAAAATAATGAAAAGAATGTAAAACTTTCATTATTCACTCAAAAAAAGAATTAATTAATTTGCCAAAAACAAAAACAAAAGAAAATAAAAAAAATTTTTATTAGAATGAATGACATTCAGTATTCAGTCCAACTTCTAATAATATACATTTATTCTGTACATTATTACATTATTTCTTATCACTCGCATTAAGAACTTATTTTAAAATTTTGTTTTAATCTTCATCTTTTTAGTAACATTGCTAGCAGTTAATAAGAATCTGTCTTTATATAACTAATTTTGATTGGCAATATCACTTATGATTATTATTGTATGCATATGTATTTTATCGATAAATAATAATCGATTTTCTAATAACTCAATTTTGATAAGTATATCATTTGTTATTATTATTATCATCATTAATTATTATTATTAATTAATATTGATTATTAATAATAATTATTATTATAATACGATTAAAATTTAACCATTTCTTTTGTCATCATTATATGTTTTTCCTTTTTGTACACAATGTAATTTAATGAAGTAAAATTTTGATCAAATATATATATTATCTGACATATATATATATCTGTCAGATAATTTACTGCTATGAATCATTCGATTAGCTTAAAAAAGTTTTTAGAATTATTTTAATTTTTTGTTATAATTTTGAATTTCTTTCAATTCTGATGGAAGAAGTTTAAATTATAATCAACATTTTATTCTTATTTTCTTTGTTGAAATTTAAGACTGTATCTATACTACTTATAGTTATGTTTAGAATTTTAATCATTGCATATATCATTCATATCAATTTTATTCATGAAATTAAATAGTCTTCGAGTAAACCATTAAATTTCTATAATTATACTTCAAAGGTGTATATGTATGTATTTCATCATATCTTTTGCAATCTTGCATAAATATATCCAAAAATATATTTGTTTAGCATCATTTTCAAAATAAAAAACCAAATGATTAATATAACATTAATACTGGAAATAGTTTCTTAAAAAAAAGAAGTTTCAGCTATTAGAAATAAATTACTTATTGTTTCAGTTATTAGATATTAATTATTTAATAAAATTGAAATATTTATTTTTCCCATAACCTTGCTGCAAACAAATTCTTCCATCGATTCACTTGAAAAAAAGCTTTTTAACGAACAATAATTATAATTGAAATGTCAGATGTCATACTTCCCATTTCAATATTATTAATAGTTAGGCGAGACAGTTTTCCTTTATTTTGACGAATTTCCTTCGTTAGTATTATTTCTTCATTTATAATAATAATAATTTATTAGGGAAGTAATATTTTCCTTTCCATTTTTTGCCTTTTACTTGTTGAAACAAATAAAAGGAAGAATTATTTGAAACATTTTTTAAAACGGAATTTCTTTTTATTTCAAACATCCCTTCCTAATCTTTTCTCCTAAAGCTTTCTTTCTGTCAGCTTTTATTTTTCTCTTTCTCTCTCATAAGTTCTTTTCAATCCCTTTCTTTCCTTTAAACTTTTTTCAAAAAAAAAACAATAGAATAGATTATGATTATTTAATTACCATTCCTTATTTTAAACATTAAATTTCTTTAACAAAGTATATAATACTTATTCTTTATTAGCACTTATATATTTTTAAAATGCCTTGCGGTTATTACCGTACTCCATTAGACATATTTGATTAGGAATACGGTGAAGTCAATTGATCCGAAATACTATTTTTTCATGTGATTTAAGCGTTTGCTAGAACATGTTACGATGGAATGAATTGACTTGTTACAATTTATACGTGATCTTCCACACTTGAATTTCGATTTGAACCTCGTTGCAACAACGATAACTTGCTTACGACCTGATTTATATTATTTCGTAATAATACAAACAAATTGGAGTCACTTGGGCTTAGTAAATATTCTATTGAATGTATCCCATTTTATGTCACACTTCATTTTTGAAGTAAAATTCTCATTGTAAGTAAATAAAAATTCTCGCTGTTCGATAACTATTGCTATACTTTTTGCCACTTCTACGAGTTCTACCATAGTTTGAGTGATATAAGCGCTCAAATATTAATACTATCACTGTCTATCAGTATAAATGTTGCGACACAAGCTGAGAATCTCATGAAAACAACAGCTGTTTCGAGCAACAATCTTTACTCCCTTAAAATATGTATGTCTGATGAGACCGTACAATTACTTGCTAGTATAACTGCATACTGAGATTAAATGATTACGGTCAATTTTCATGTTGCGCTAAAATTATTCCCAATTTTTATAAAAGTATTATGGTGTCAGAATTAAGGGAGAACTATTTTTGCACGCTCGAGGAATTCTTTTGGTTTGCTGCTATTAACTGTTGATATCATTGTCCATATTTTACAACAAGAAAGAATGAACTGCCTTTACTGATCAAGAATTCAAATCAGAGCTTAAATTTTTGAATAAACCTCCTACACAGTAAACCATCACATACAATCGACATTACAAAGAAATTAAAGAACAGACATATCTAGCATCGATACATGTCACTTACAGTAACAAAAATCAAGCAAGATTATTGTTCAATGAGAAAAAGAGTACTTCCTTCTTGCCATGCTTCTGTTTGAATTGATGAGGTTCTATTCGTTTCAATATAGCGGCCAATTTTTGTACTATTTCCGATTTTTCCATATCACCACATTTTGACTTGATTTTGGAAAGCAGTTCTTTTGTTGTATGAGGTTTCCTGTAAAACGAAGCTCAAATCAATGAATTGCCAAGTACAAAGGAAAGGAAAAAAATAATAAATAAACAATGAAGTAATCTATAATTTTTACAAATAAGTACAAATACACAAATTTACAGGAATATCATGTTTAAGAACTCTTAAAACAGAAAATGATCTCGTCTTCCTATTTCACTTCGTTCGAAATCACAAAATGAATCGTATGTCCATTATTTCATAGCAACGTATAAGAACGATGAAGTCATAAAAACTCGAAAAAGCTACCTCCGAAGATATCGTCGGACTGTTTCTTCGTTTAGACCATCCTGATTTGCTGTCGGTTGTGTAGGTGATATCGACATTGCTGTAAGCCTGTAAAGATCAAGCGGATATAATTTTATGGACGGATCAATGATGTTTCGGGTAAAATCACATTCGAGTGAAAAATATTTAAGCTTGAATTATTTCGCAAACGTCACTGGGACTAACTTGAAGAAATACAAAAGAAACATAAATTTAATTGAAATCATAGATTAAAACAATTCTTAGAAGATCTTCCATCCTATACGCATACGTATGCATGCAACTTTTCGCTGGATCATAAAATAATAATAATAATAAAAGCATAGAGTATATATGATAATATTCTATTGAAAAAAATAAAAACTAAAAATTTTCCAGCAAAACCGATAAAAAATCTCCATTTCAGAAAGAAAATAGATGAAGCTTACGACTGCTCGGTTTTGATTTTCTTCGCCTCAGTGTCTGCCAAAGTTGTATTTTCTAATGGCCTTTTCCTCGCTGATGATGATGATGGTTGTTCTTCTGGAGCTTTTTTCTAGAAAATTTTAGAGTAATTTTAAAAGAATTTAACTTCAAGAGAGAAAAAGGCTTACCACGGGTAAGAAGATTGCGGAGTTAATTTCCTTGTCAGGATCATCCGAATCGCTACCCGATGAATCTGAAGATGAATCCAGTACGATATTTACCATTTTAGCTTCATAAACTTCATATTTGACTTTCAACTCAACTTAACAGTAAATCCTCTGTTAAGAGTCAACTTATCGAAGTATAAAATCTACTGCTTTCAATCTTTCTCTGACAAAAAATAAGCCTCAAAATTCCCATATCTCTGATGTAACGATCCTATTTCCTGTGAAGAATTTAGAGGAAGATTGAGCACAATAAAGTTAAAAGTAAACGTTTCATAAAATAAATGAAAAAGTAAATTTTCAATGACAGCTTGCCCCTTTCATCGACATCAATAAACTGCTTTTTTATCTCATCACCGTCATCATCTTCCACGGCAGAAAGAAGTTTCTTTGCTGAAATTTCAATCTTATTGAGATTGTCAGATTTTTCACTTATTAAAACAATTAAAATGTTATTTTAAAAAATGGCAGTTATGAAGAATTCTATTAGAAAGAAGAGAATAACCGGAATTATATACATACTGATATCGTCCACATCACTGCTGTCGGTATCAGAAAATTCATCGCCAATCAATTTTTTCAGTCCTGTTTCATCACCCACGGCAACCATCGCCTCATCCACCTTCTGCTCCATAGAGATCGCATCTCGGCTGAAATATTATCGAAATGAAGTTGATCTAGTTCCCTGAATAATCCCTACACCATCGAAAAAAACAAAACTGACAAATACTGGGTCCAGCCAGTACTCATATATTTGATAGTTTATATTTTCTTTCCGTAGATCTCATACGAGAATTTCATCAAAATAAACTAGAGTCGGTTATAATGATAGGAAAAACAAAATTAATTAATAAAGAAAATTGATGATTTGAAGCACCAAAAATTTAATTAATGGTGAATTGAACGAAATAATGGAAAATTGATTCCTAGAGAAGCAGACTGTTGTATTCAACAACAGTGAACAGAAATACTGGATATGAATGATTGGAACAATTGAGCTACATCCTCTGCGCAATTCTGCTGCTGGGATTATATGAAAAGAACTTTAAAGTTTACGTCACAGGCCTATTATCAATCCTGAGTTCCACAGACAAATGTCACTTCACATCTCATTATATTCCATTTAGTGCTACTTTGGCTACTGCTCTTTTAGCTATGATTTAATGAAAACTTTATACAATTCATAAATCACAAATGAAACAACCTTATTTACTATCGATTCTATTAAATCGACGTTGATATCAGTTGAAGATGTTTTCACAGTGAAATAAGATGAACACACTATTCAACAGAAAATAATTATATATGAAATAACCGCACGCACATGTTTTCCACTGTACAGTGGTTCACCAGCGAGCTATTCTAAGAAAGTTATTCCTTCTGCTGGAAGTTTCATTTCTTGCTTCATTTTATAAAATATCTTATTTCTTTTTAGAACAATATAGCATTTGTAAACAAGAAGCGGATAATAATTCAGATTATATTTTAGTGTTGGAAAAACCGGATTTTATAAAAATATCTAAGTCAATGGAAAATTCTTATAAGAATAGTGAAGTGTTGTACAAAGTAAGAATATCTATCGCGGAAAAACTTAAATAATGAAGTTTAATAGATGACTGCCTCATCGGCATCTTATGAATAATTCGCTGTCAACAACATCTAAATTATCTGTTTTTAGTTATTTGGGTTTTAGAAATGAATAAAATAAATGTATGAAATTTTGAACAGATACTAATTTTAGATAGGAATGATGGTAACATCATGCACTGCTGACAGTGAAAAAAAAGTAAATCGCTAAGTTCAAAAGAAATGTGACTATCATTTTTCATTCATGTTAAGCCTACTTCCTTAATTTAATTTACTATTTTGATTAAAAAACTACAAGGAACATAAAATTACAAAGTTCTTAGTCAATTAAAGAAATACAGTGCAGCTCTCAATATGGTTTTGATTCCTCTTTTGAGTAAGGACAAAAACAATAAGCAAAGGAACATAAAAGCATGGGAAAAAGTAACACACGCAGCTATTTTTTTTAATTTCTAATTCCAAAAAAATTATATAATTGATGTTCAGCTATTTCCCCACTAAATTTGCGAAAAAATTTGAATGCAGTAAATAAGCCCACACAATATGTATGAGCTCTTTTTGTATTATAGCTTGGAACAGTGAACAATGAGCAAAAACCTGCTTTGCAACTTGAAATTAAATGGCGGGAAAAAGAAACGGAAAACAAAAATACTAAAGAGATACAAGAAGTACTTTATCTAAGTTTGGAAAACTGAATTAAAATCGCTATGGTTGAAACTTACTCGCTTTCTGAACCACTATCACTCATATAATCATATTCTCGACCCTCATCATCACCATCATCACTTTCATAAGCTGCCACTTCATCTGCATTCTCTACTCGTTGCCTTTTATCTTTTCGAACCCGACCAGCGAGTTTCGAGTTCTAAAGTAGGAATTTGTAAGTGGAGGTCTTGCACCTTTCGCTTTCATTAACGTTAGGGAACTTAGTTTTTTAGCTTAATTTGAATATAAAGTCTTACACACAAGTTTGTGTCCAAAATTGAAATTTACGAGCTTTATTAAATTTCCAGATTAAGAATTTCAATAAGCTTTACCTTTTTCGACTGCAAACTTCCGAAAGGAGCATCATCTTCGTCATCGCCTTTCTCGCCATCAGAATTCTCATCCGCACTGTCTTCATCTTTAATTTTCTGAAAAGATTTAGGAATTTTGATCTGAAGCAGTTGAAAGCGAACAATGAATAAAAAACTTGAACACTAAAGTAAATGAACCTACAAGTGACTTAGTTGTTTTTATCATTTGTTCACCATCCTCATCCATAACTCTCAGCTGCTGTTGTATCTGAGCTTTTAGGGCAAACTGATTCATGACACGGTTTCGTCTAAAAGCACAATTATTTTCAATAAGCAAATGAAGTTTTAAACCTAGATACCTGTTCCAGTCTTTTCCCTTTGTTTTTGCTCTACCAGAACAAATCATAAATATAACAGGAACATTCTGTGACTTAATATATATATATAAGTGCTTTTTAATTTATGGAATAATTTTACTTAGTTTTGAATATAAAACTAATCTATTTCGTTAATGCATAAATCAGGATTTTCATTTTTCAAAATCAAATTTATTTACTATTACCTATAAGAAATTAAATATATGTTTAACCCATTTCAGCGTACAAATGAAGCAAGTCTTACTCACGAAACCGTTCTTCTGCTTGATCAATGTCTAGAGTTCGATGAGTAGAAAATGGCACAAATTGATACCATTCGTCAACTTTATAAGCATGAAATTCTTCCCCTGATTTCAAAAACACCCAATAGTCTGCATGTTCTCCCGCTCCACCTTCACGAATGCTACGAAATTTTCGTTCTTTAGTACCTAAAAACTTCATATGAGCTAACGAAAAAGAAGTAAAAAATTACGATAATAACGAAAATGCATTTCACAACATTAGAATATGAATGATGCTTTGCAGCTTCACAATTTTTTGAGTATGAAAAACTGATGTTGAATCAATACATTAAATTAAAATTAAAACAGTACTATTCGATAAACCTAGCTAGAAAGTATAATTAAACATAAAATTAATACGAAATGAAAAAAAAAATGTACTTGAATCTGTAATACTTAGCATCCAGGGTTGATTGTCATGTTGATAGGCTTGTAGCTGTCGGCCGTATTTCTTGCGCCGTGCTTCTTCTCGCAATGCTTTACCATATTCGGAACCTTCTCCGTAGTCCTGCAGGAATTAACTGTTACTAATCTCAAGCATTTTTGAAGTTGTAAATTAGACTAAAAGAATCATATGTTCATTACTGCTTCCTAATATTTCTTTAGATCTGAACTGAATCAATTTTCATTTAAGACTAGAAAAAAAACGCAGGTGTCCATTAAGGTTTCTTCTCTAAACAGTAGAGAATACTACAGGCCATTAATGAACAAAAAAGAGTTTTGACCTCTCAGCAAAAATGGGAAAACTAACCTGCCGAATTTCATTTGCAGCTGCTTGTTCCTTATTATCTTCACGTGCCATTCGTATGCTGCAATCAGCTGTTGCCCATTTGCCTGGATCAACTTTTAAAGTGCCGTTGAATTTCAAGATTGAATAACGTCTAAATCCATTGCGTCTATAAGAAGACATGAAATTCTGGAAATTTTTCTTAATCTGGAAAACTGGAAACAAAAAAACAAAACAATCTATACTACTAGGCATAATTACTTCGCCATCTGCAGTTTGGGAATAAAATGGATATCTTTATATTTATAGGTACGTGCGATGTAATAGGCTTACTAAAACTTACTTCGGGATACGCACGGCATAATGTTTCGGTATTGCAGGTGAAGACATCTAGAAAAAAGGATCAGATGCAGCGATAATGAGATTTAATACGATAAGCTTGCAGGAAATCTTCTAGGAACAATTTTACTTATCTGTTTTATAATAGTCCCCATCTCTTTCACCACTATTTCTTTTCTTTCCCTCCTAAACAATTTCAACCTTTTAATATTATAAAGATTAAATAAATTGGAATTTAAGCCAGTTGTTATTATAATGAAGTGGAGTTCTGATAACAATTTTACTAGTACCACAAAGACAACAAGTTTTTAACTTTCCACAAGGAAAAAATTGAAAGACAAAAACAGTACAGATCAAAAGTTCATTTCCCTAGAAGTAACTTACAAAAACTACTAGCAAAGTTAGCGAAAATTAGAGAATTTTAACTTTTGATAAGTACAAAAAAGTAACAAAACCTCTAGAACAACGTCTTAAAGGCAAACACGTATAAAAAGATAACAAACTTCTAAAACAATATTTAAAGCTTTGTAATTTCAGCAAAGCAAAGCAAAGCTTTAAAAAGCTAAAAAAATATATCCTGTCGTATGAGAAATCTTTCACAAATTTTTTTATAAGAAATTCGAATTAAATTCAGGCCCAACATGACTTAGAACCATCTTTTTTTCTTATTTAATATATCACGCTTGAAAACTTTCAGTTTAATAATCTTTGCTATCTCTTGTGCAGAACGATTCTGACCTGAAATATATGCACTAGTTGGCAGCAATCTAGGAAGAAAAAAGTTAATAAAGCAGTAAGAACAAAACGTCAAAAAGAAATCACTATACAACAGCGAGCCTAATTTTAAAAAAATGGAGGAAGGTAAGAACCACTAAAAGCATATATTCTTGAAAAGAATGTCTTCTCAAACACTTGTTAGGATCATTTTTAGAAAAGAAAACAGCTTACCATAATAATCATGAAAATCGCCATCTGGATCCATTAAATACATGATAACAGTGTGATCAACAATATAGTCATTTCCATCTACTTTAGGTCCTTGACTATAATAAACGCGAAATGCCTTTGCTACTTTGGCAACCTGAAGGAACAGTGACATGTCTTTATTTTCTCACTTTATCTTATCCTAAGTCCATTAATGATTTCAATAAAAACTAAACCATCATACCTGTTCCTTCGAACCAGTATAGCCTTTTATTTTGGGAGAAAATTCTGCGCAATATTCCGTCACTCTTTTAACTGTATCACGTTCTGGATCCACCGATATGAAAACTGGAACTACTTTGATTTTTTCTTCACTTTTTTCAAGAATTTCCACAACCTAAAACATGCATAAGTAAGCAATTTCAAACCATTTGAGTCGTAAATTCTCGCTGTAAATTTTAGTTTCTAACTATTCTGTTTTATACGCCAATAAAAATAATGTAAAATAAAGAAGCAAAGCTTTCTTAAAGAGCAACAAATTTCGTAAAAAAATTATAGAATGAAAAGGAAAGGAAAAACGACCTCAACCATTTTTTCAATAGAATCGGGGCAAACATCAGGACAGTGTGTGAAACCAAAATACAATAAAAGCCAATTTCCTTTGAGTTGTTCAGATCCTCCTAATTTACCATCCATGCCGACCAATTCCCACGGACCACCAATTCGAGCTTTACCGATTGTTTGCTTCCTTTCGTTTTCCAATTCTCTCATTTTCTACAGTATTGCTAAACTGAACTTTTTCTGCAAAACTATATCTCGAAAAAACCAAATTCCGAGATGCTTGTACATGATGTGATACCCGCAAATACCGAAAGAATTAAAACACATCCGGTGTTATAGACAACAAAACTCTTATCAACAAATTAAAAAAAAGTATGCTTGCCTTTTCACGCAGACCTGACAAGATGATAACTAGGATAACACTGACACCAACAATAATCATCGCCAGCTTTCCTGTGAAAATGTCTCGAATTCCTCTCCTCTGCAAGAATAGATGATTCAAGCAAAATACTGTGCGCTCGAGAACGAAATACCTGATAGCTAATCTACCTGTTCCTTTAACTGTCGAATGCTTTTTTTGTGATCTGTTGGCAATTCATCTTTTTTCAAAGCCTCTTCTAAGTCTGCCATATCCAATTTCAAATCTTCATTTCTTACTGTTTCTTCTAAATATGCTTTTGTAATTTTATGTCTCGAAAAACACCATAATGTTTAACTTTCACAAAAATTCAAGTAGACAACAAACAAAATATAGGCAAAAAACATCAGCAGTCATTATTTCATTTAAAAATAAAATATATTAGAGAGCAAAGCAATGTATTATCATTCGTCCATTGAAAATTACAAATAAATTGAATTTTCCTTACAATAAATAACAAACTTTTGTCACTAGGATTATCACTGCCAGTAGAAGCAAAGCGTAATGAATTTGTGGCATGAAGGAAACATCTCCTGATACAGTAACACTGACGAGATGAATTGGAAGGTAATAACCGGGAAAGAACAGCACAAGTTACACGAAACATCTGAAAACAGGCCACTTAAGACTTCAGATCATGAAACATGAATTTAAATAAAGGATATAACTGTAAGCCAATAAAGAATCGAGGACATGTATCACTACATCACTAGCAAGAAGAGATAATGTAGTGAATCACTTAATAATGTTTAATTAAATGATTGGTGGGTTGATGGATGAATCTTACTTCATTCCAAGTAAATCATGTTTTTCTTTAACGAAGTCATAACCAACTGTGATTGACATGAATGCAAAATATTTGAAGAACATCAATAAATACGTGAAACATTGGATACTAGAACTAGAACAACACATCAGATTGTCTCTCATATATATATATATATATATATGTTAATAAATGATATTTGTCTATATCTGCTTTTATCAGCATTATCGATCACTATATTTTGCATTCTACTCTCATACTTTATTCAGAACAGTGAGTACATTTACTATTTATATCAACTCCCTTATTCTCTAATAACATTATATTCTCCTCCTCAAATTCATTTAATCTTTTAAAACATACCGCAAAGATTGGGGATTGTCTGGAACTGTTACGATGTCGACACTATGAAAATTTTTGGACCAACTTCATCATCGTTGCATAATTTTCATTGTAATGCTTTGTGTGCTGTGATTGTATTTTGTTTTCTCTTTGCTCTGTTCGCTTACGCATTTCTTATTCATTTCACTTGCCTGATAGATAAGGCACATTATATGTCATTATACAATAAGCTCACTATATATAATTTATGACAAAGTAGGCTTAAATTAATAAGAAACAGTGAATGTTGCGGAAGATAGATGAACTGTTTGTCTCTTTTATCGGCATTCACTTGATATTTATATTTTTAATAGATGAAAAGCTATATAGATTTTAAAAAATTAGATATTAAAGTGCTTTATAAATTCCAGTAGTGAAATTGATGAATGGTGTAGTGATACTCCATGTAATAACTTTGTGTTGTTCGTATATCATTGCAAACAATGAACTAAATTACACATCAAACGATCCATGGGATCTGAACGCTCATTGCCAGCCGTATATTGAGGTTTCCATTTGGTATTTGCTAATAAATTTTTGTAACTTAAATTCATTTCTCCTTACTAATCACGCCGGCTAAAGCAAGATAATTTAAATCTGTTGCTTTTGACATTAACATTAATTTTAGTTTTAACATTATTCAAATAAGTTATAGTAGTTCGTTCATTGATTAATGTTGTGTGTTTTAGGATTTCGCAGAAGCGAGTTCAAGAATGATACGATGTGCAGCAGCATATTCTTCACCACCTAAAGTTTGCATATATTGTACCGAAGAATACATTGCGTTCAAACAGATCGAATATAAGTTACATAAATTGGTAAACGTAGTTTGTTACAAAGAAGTTAGATTTGGGAAAAATGTGTTACGAGGTGTCATGAATTCTTGATGAATCAATAAAAGCAGTGGTGTAGGAATTTGGATCTAAGTAGATTTATGGATAAATTCGTATGTTGTATACTCAATTATTTGATTACTCATTAATTAAGCTCACAGTAAGGAGGTGCAGTTTTTTTAATTTTAAAGTGATATAGTTTTCAGAAATTAGGCTTTGACTTTAAAGTAGTTTGGGATTTTAGGAAAACATATTTTCACGTGACAATGTAACTTGCAGTCGTGTAATTTATGAGAATTACCTAATTTCCTACGTGTCAGAGGTATCGACGACAATAACGAAAAACATATGGGAAAATTCGCGCTGTTCTTGTAAGACTTTTACCTCTATTTTAGGAATGAATCACAGCAAGAATGCAGTTATTTTTTTCTTCTCGAGTTTCTTATATTAGCTTGCTCTTTATTCTCGTCTTCAGTAAAGATTTGTGAAATGTTGTTTTATGGAAGTACAACACTTCATGCATGGCAAAATAACATGCTACAAAACTGTTGAGAGTAATAAGGTTGCGTACTGTGTGAATAAAATTTCTTCTGCTTACCCAAGTTAAGAAAGTTACTTTTGATCATTTTTAACAATATTTTTGTAGTTTAATATAGTTTGACGTTGTGAATTGACTTTGTATTGCATATTTCATTGTTGAGTAAACTCGAAGGAACAACTACCAATAAAAAAGCAGGAAGTTACTTCAATGTACTTTAAGTTGTTGGTTTTATGCATTTCAGCTTGTGTGAATATCGCTTGGCACCTCGAGACAAACAACACTGAATATGCCTACTATAACGATACTATAAGGTTTGAAAATAAACTGTATGATTGGAGGCATTGTGTTTCCAATTTGTCATTTCTTGGAGCTAATGAAACGATTATTTGTGATAAATGTTTGAGTTCATTCAATGAATTATTCCAATTTTACTGGTATATATACGTCACACCGAGTGTTAATTTCTGTTTAGATGTCGAAACTACGGTTTGTTTTTTCTTTCTTCTTTATGATTATTGCTTTCCCTAAAAATTTGGTGCTTGTCAAGTGTATTTTATAAAAAAATTATTCCTTAGTTTTTCTAAATTTTTTAATTTGAATTTTGTTTGCGAATGATATTAGAGGCTATTTGCATGATTTATGGTTCAAAATATCGTAACTGAATATTTTGCCGAAATGATGATTAAGAATTGGTTTATAGTATATAATAAATCCTATCGGTATGAGAAGTTACATTCGTTATGTAATAAGTGTTCACAGAAGTTCATGAAATCATTTCAAATATTGATGCATCATTGTAATATATAAAAATATATAATGTATAGATTAAACGATAACGAAAATTTCAGATGAACGATACAATGAATTTGTGGCATAATGTATGGCATTGTCCGGATGACCGAGTTGAAGAATTACGCGACTGGACTTTACTTGGATATAGCTTAGCTTTTCTAATAATCATAACAGTATTTTTCTATGCTGGCAGTTATATTCAAAGTTCGGAAATACAGAGGAATCTTGTGCAGTGTTGGTTTTTATTTAACTTCTAGATTTAAATTTTCAGAAAGTATACTTTTAAATGAAAACATCGGTTTTACAATTTTATGTATGTGGAATTTTATGTATGATTCATTGCTTCGTATTTTTGTTTCTGAGGATGCAATTCTCTCTCATTTTTTGTATGGAAATGTTGAAGAATTGTAGATTCACGACTAGATGCGCCACGTGGTTTACGATCACATCTTCTGAGCTCATCAACTTTGGATAGAGTATCTTCATCAACTGCTGGGCGTGCTGAACAGATCACCAATTTGGAGTAGTATATTGTCAGGTTTTTTGTTTCTTTGATTGATTAAGTAGAACAAAATGGATTTATTTGGCCAAACGACAGTCACATATATTGGATCTGTAGCCAGAAAGAACTCATTTTGTTAATTAAAATGAGAAGAAAATTTTGCTGCAGCTTTATGAAAGAATAAAAAACGAGCAATGATTGAAATTGAGGATGCAATGCAAAAAGGAAAAAGCATATTCCAATTTTTTTTCTTTTTTTTGTCACAAAAAACATACTGGTTTTCGTAATTTGTTTTTACTTTGGAAAGAATAAAAACAAAGATAGTTAGAGAACAAGGATGGATTGGAGGGAACAAAGATAGTTTAATGGATAAAGCTTTTTGTCTTTCTAGTATTCATTAAAATAAGCATTTTTATATATCTGGTCATTTATTCCGCTCTCATTTTTACCACGTATTCAGTGAAGAGATATGATTCATTAGGCTGCCTTAATTTGTTCAGAATTTTGTTATTAATTGCTTCCCATAGTTAATTTGGCGGATTTACCAGAAACCATTTTAATTTCACTGTTTTGAACATTTTTCTTTGTCTAATATAATTCTGGAATATAAAATAAGTACTTTTAGTGTCAAATAAATATTTAAAATTTTGTTAGATTAGTTTTCATTTTCTTAATAAGTATTTTCATGCCATAATTTTAACAAGTTTTCAAATATGATGTGTTTCAAACAAAGGTCTCATTGTTTTTTCACTTCATCACGTAAAATTCCTCCTCTAATTTTGTATGGTAATCTTTGTGAAGCATAAATTGTTTCAAATTTTCATGCATTTTGTGTGTTTTTATGGTTTATTCCATATCGAGATCTTTCAGTCTGCCGACGTTTTATACGTGAGACTGAGAAAAGAACTATTGAGATAATTCCGATGTTTTCTGTTAAGTGTATTTGGTGGATGTTGAGTAAGTAGGACGACTGATTTAGACAATGGAAAAAAGTGGACTTAAATACGACTTGATATAAGAACTTTTATCTTATTTTGTGCGCATTGAAATCGTTTCGTCACGATTTATTTCTGTCATGCATAAATGATTTCTTTATTACTTTAGACAACCGAATTCATTTGTCGCACAAGAAAGCTTGTCCTCATGGGAGATAGTAATGAGGTAGGTTCCATTTAAGCCAATTTGTTTCTCCTGCTTAAATTGTGAGTTTCAGAAATTTAAGCGCATCTAAGCAGACAATAATCATTAATAAATTGTTTCCTCAAGTCACCTTTGATTTTACCGTAGGCCGAAACTCAACCACCTCCTGTTGATGAGGAGGAAGTGGTAGATCCATTGATCAAATTCCGTGAAGAATGCATAGCTGAAACGGGAAAATGGAAAAAATTGCTAGATGAATGTACGGAGCGTGTGAATTCGAAAGCAAAGACCAAGGAATCATGTCATTATGAAATGGTCGATTATATTCAGGCTCTTGACCACTGTGTACGTTGTATAAAAATTTGTCGAGACGTAAAAATTTATGACTGATTTGCCTTTTAAATAGCTAAAATTTAACTTTGAGAAGCTAACGACAATTGTTATGTTTGCAAATAAAGAGAAAACTATTACTCTCTAACCTTTATTTTTCAGTTAGCTATGCATGATTCGATGAACAAGTTAAGATTTCTTATTTTTCGTAACAATTTTCGTCATAGGCGAATTTTTATAACATGGTACTTATGAAGAGCAATTTTCAGGCTATGCCTAAGGCTTTCGCAACTTTGAAGTAATGCAGTGGTAGTTCCTCGGGAGTGATTTTAAAGATAGGTTATTGTATTTATCAAGTTAATGTAAGCGTCTATTAATGAATAAACTAATTTGTTTTCAACTTGAAGCTTCTTGCACACGACGCATCGAATATTGTATATCGTAGATTATACAAGTATTTGCAAGCTGTTAAGTCGATAGCAAAACATTGACTGTAACAGTAACAGTGAGTACATAAGCTGTCCACTTTATGTGGAATTTCCTTTACGTGAAATTTAGACGTGTGCTGAGACAGGAAACAACCCTACTGTTAAAATTTCTCAATTCGAAACATAAATCATGATAGATATAAATTTATTCCAATTAATTAGTTATAATCTTTGTTAGATCGGGTCGCTCACGTCAAAAGTTAATTTTGACAACTAAATACCTTCTTTACAATCTTTTTTTTATGTTTGGATAAGTACATTTTACAATTCATATGCCACATTTAACTTTCAACATTGTAAATTAAGTGATATATCTTAATTAATAAATAAGAAAAATTTCTGCATATGTTATATTAATAAGTTATTGTTTAATTTGGAATGTTTTATATTAGGGAAAAGTGATCTCTTATGTTAAATCTGGTCCTTCTTTCTATATGTTCTGAAGATGGATTAGATTTTCATGCCAGTGGTATTATCAATGATTTAAATTCTGAAATTTCTATTCCATGGAGAATAGAAATGAGAATTTGAAGGCATAGGGAGAATGATGAATTATATATTATATTTGAGTAGGTTTATGCATAGAAGCGTTAGTAATTTAATATTTTAAGATTTAATCAAAGTGAGTATTCAATTTAATCCAAATTTTTCGAATCATAGAGAATAAGAAATTTTTCCTGCAAAAAACGGAGGAAGCCAATTTTATTATTGACAGCTGTAATTAATGATGGTTTTAGAGCGATCATCGTTGGATAAGAAATGAATTGCTACCGTAATTAATTAAAGAATTGCGAATAAAAGAAAAATTTCATTTGCAAAGGGATAAAATAGGCTTTGTATGGATAATTTATACTAATTATTAAAAAAATAGTCTCTTTTTTGCTAAGAAAATAAGAATGTTTTAAAATTATAATAAAACATTTTTTTTGGATACAATCGTATATTTTTATGCAAATTATAAAATATTTTTGAATGGAAACAATTATTTATAATAATTGTCGTTATTGTATTAATATAGTAATAACAATTCATAAGTTAAATTCATATGATTTCAATTATTGCTAATATAATGATGACAATGTTTATCATTACCGCCATATCATTCATTAGCAATTATATCATTACTATCATATTTCATTAATAATCTTATCATTGTGATTACATTATGACTGTTATACGCAACAGACTACAAATTATAAATTAAAAATTTTCAATTTATGTCTATCTGTATGTTTTCAAAAAATATATATATTGAAGAAATTTCAAAAGAAAAAACAGACAGACAATTATTAAATGAAATGTATCAAAATTCGAATACTTTTATTGTTTCAAAATTTCATTTGATAAAATGAATTACAATAACTATTATTGTCTTAATTTAATTAGCAGAATTAACAGTAAATTAAATAAATGATTATTAGTAATATAAAGAGAATAATAGAATGAAAATAATGAATGCAATAAATTTAAATTAATAAATTGGTTAAAAACAATTGATGATAATATTTAAAAAATTTTGTGAATATAAACAGATGCAATATATACAAATTCAAAAAATCGTGAATTCTTGATATTACCAATATAATTATTTATGATTATGGAATATAAATAAAGAATATAATAATAATTGAATTAATTAAACCAACTTGGAAGTATGAAAATAATTAATTGATTTGAACAGGTAATAATGATTCCTGCATTTGATTATATTAAAAAATTGGATAGTTTTAGAAACAAAAAAAGAGAAGAATTTAGTACATTTTAATTTATGCAATTAAAAAAAGATTTAATTTCTTCTTTTTAAATTTCAAAGTGAAGAAAAAATTTTTTGTAAAATGAAATAATTTTAATTAAGCAAATAATGCATATGAAATTATTATTATATTATATTTTTCGTTATTAATAATTAATATTACGAATTTATGCATTGATTGAGGCTAACCTAACAATACAATAACCTTTACTCATTTACTCATTTCAACAAATTTATCATTATGAATTATGCATATGCTTTAAGCAAGTATTAGTGTGAATATTATAATTTATTATAATAATAATTATATTTTTTCCTTTGAAATCATTTTCATTCCGATGCACTCTTTCTGTTATTTCTAATATTGGATAAAGCTTTACAGTATTTCAATTAATGATTTCAATGCTTTTTTCAACAAGCTGATAGGCATAGGCAAAGTTAAAGCAATCGTTGGGAGCAATATGACATTCAGAATTGAGAAGAATCAATATTAACCATCCATCCATCCATCCATCCATCCATCAGTTCATCTATCCATCCATCTATCCACCCATTTTAACCAACGAACCAACCAACCAACTAACGAACCAAACTACCCCAATCAATTCATCCATTTATCTATCTATCCATATATGTAAATATGGGAGGAAAAGAAATGGATGAGAAGCAAAAGAAGTTGGCAATAGTTTGGGAGATATTATATTTGTAGAGAAGAAGAAAGAAAGAGAGAGTGAAAAGGAAAATGAATAAATGACAAAGTTCTTTTGATTATGCTTGTTGGTCTATGATAATCATAGCTTAGACTCTTTTTTTCTTTGTTCTTATTTAATTTATATTTTATTTTAATTTATTTTAAATTATTATTTATTGTAAAAAAAAGAAAATTTCGATTAAAAATATATTTCAAAAATGTTTTAATTGATAAAATTATTTTTGATAAATATATTTTTGATATTTTTGATAAAATTTTCAACAAATATTTATTTTATTGGAAAAGAAAAAGAAATTTTCAATAATTTCATAAAAAATAATTTATATTATTCCTTAAATGCTCTCTATCACTTTTCTCTTTTTCTCTAAAACAATTTGATAAAAGCCTTTATTGTTTTTCTTTTTAAAGATATTTTATACGATGGTACCACCACCACCACCACCACCACCGCTACTATTATTACCATTGCTACAATCAAATGGACATTGCCTCCTGCTGTTTCTAACGATCTGTTTCATGACATCTGGACATTTTCTGTCCTCGACTATTGATCATCACCATCATTCTAATCGCCGATACCAGCAATATCACGAGCAAGAGCAGTATCATCATCATTTTCCAACTCTTTCAACCATTGCACCCGCGGTATCACGATTACACTTCTTACCACATCAGCATGTTATTATTCGACGTGCTAGTCTTCCACAACAGCAATATTCACCATCTATCAAAGATCATTTCACTACTTCTTCACCTGTTACGCTCATTAAAAAAATCGATATGTTACAGGTGGTTTTTTGAAATTTTCAAAATTTTGAAATATATTCAAATCAATTTTATGTCTCTCTCAAATTTCAAATTTAAAAATTCTGAGTTACCATAATATCTCCTAAAGTTTCTAACAATTCATATTGAATTTTTTAGTCGTTTTATCAGGATTTTCATTGATAATAATATCGTTCTGTTGTTTGTATAGATTGATGAAGAATTGAAAGCGTTAAAAAAGAAGAGGAAACGATTACGTCAATTACGTGAAGAAGTGCGTGAATTGAGTGATCATCTAAAAAGCAAACGAATATTTTCAAAGAGTGAATTTTTGCACATTTGTAAATTTTACTAAATTTTGAAAAACTCTCATCGTATCTGTGTTCATTTCAATCATTATCATCATCCATTCTTAGCTATATATCCAGAGAAAATGGATTCTTTGATGGATATGCCAGCCTATTCTTTCCATTCACTTTTTCATTCAAATCAAACTGAATTCGTCTAATTTAGGCAAAATAAGAAATGTTTGTTAAATTTAGGCTAATTCTTTGTTTTCATTATTGCAAATGCCTCTCAAATATCATTCATTATTTTTCAAATAATTTTATGAAATTATTTTGTTTTTTATTGTTGTTGTTGTTGTTGTTGTTGTTGTCGTGTCTTTCTGTCTGTGTGTGTGTTTTTCGAAAATTAGAATTGCTAATTGTCTGTCAAAAAGTTTCGGAAGAAATGGCAAGTATTTAAAATAAAAATAGATTAGATTTTCAGGTAAAAATGAATGAAAGTAAGTTAGATTTCAGGTAATTATTCGAAAGTATCATTTCAAGTGATAGTTTATAAATGCAATTGATTTAAGATAATTTTGAAAAAACATATTAAAATTGCGTTGAAATTACATCAAAAGAATCATTAAAATATTTATTCCTTACCTTCTCCCTCTCCATCTTCTCCTTCCTTTTTCTCCCTTACTTCAGGTGAATTTTTTAACCTATTAATTAGCAAATTCATTTCAAATGCTAATTACATCATTGCAACTCATTATTATATCGCTTAATCATTGTTATTCAAAAGTTTTTCATTTAACAAACTTATCTCAAAAACAAAACAAAAAGAAATTAATTCAATACATAAACAATTTTAGGATAAAATAAAATAATTTATATTACTGTAAATGAAGAATACATAAAAAATTGTTTCTTTCTTTTATAAAATTATGACGTACGTGTATTTCTTCATTTTGTGTACTTTTTCATTTCTTACCTAAACGTGTCAAAATGTTATTTTTCATTAAGAAAAGAATTAAAAGATTAATGAGGAATGAAAATATTTCAGGTGATGAATTATTTGAGAAGCATAAAATGAAAGAAACGCACGTACGATGGCGAAAACAAATAACAACACGTGTAAAAGCAATTATGAAACGTTTGAGAAGATTGGAAAGTGAAATGAAAACAGAACGAAATTTTACTAAAGTCACCGAAAAAATTATTTCTTTTTTAATAAAAAGAAAAAATGAATTTTAAATTGAATATAAAATTTATCATTCATAAATAGTCGAATTAGACATACAATTACTTACAAATTAATGAAGACAAATGAATTTGAATTTTCTTTTAGTTTATTAAAAATTAACTTCGATTATGATATAATTAACTTCTTCTCAAACTAATGATAATAATTAATTATTTATTGTTTTTGAAATATAAACCAAAATGGATGAATTTTTTCCTTTCCTTTAGCTTAATTCTCTTCTCAAAGTTTGAGTTAAAAATTAATGCTAAAACAATTCTTCTATTTCATTATCACTGATAATTTCTCTTCTTTTGAAATAAATGAAATTAAATTAATTATAAGAAGAAAGATTAATATTTTTAGGGAAGAAAAAAAGTAGCTAAACGCTTACCATTATCACCGGTGAATTTTCATACAGTAGCATCATCACCTCATACGTTACCAATTACAACGAATGAAAATTTCAAGGTAAATATTTGTTGTCATTATAATTCATATCGCTTTCACTTTTTTAATTACTCAAATCTTTTATTAATCTGAAAAAAGAAAAAAATATTACTTTTGGGTTGGCTAAATAAAAATAATAAATACTGGCAAGATAAATTTAATTTATTAATTTGGATTTTTTATTACTCAATGAAATATGTGAGAATTGTATTGCAAATATTTCGGTTAATTTGTTTTTTTTTAATTATTTCATTTAATCAAACAATGAATAGTATTTTATTATAGATTAAGCGGCTTCATTCATCTATAAATCAATCAAAAAGCGGTGAATCGGGTGGAATTTGTTTTGGTCATAATGACTGCAAACCAGGTTAATTATTTAGCAATAAATTTTGAAATAAAATTAGCATAATTTGTTGAAAGTTAATTTATTCTATATGATATAAATAAGATATGCATTTTGTAGTTTAATGCAGTTTGCATTTTTTGCAATTTTTATAAAGTGCAAAATATTTAACGCAAATTTATTGGATCTTTTATTAGCTTAACATTATATTATTAGCAATGTTTATTAGTGATATTATATATTTCAGTTTTATCTATTCGTTGATGTTTTCGTTTTAAAATTTTCCTCTTCTTTGTTTTTATTATACAATCAAATACTTTCTTAAAATTGAAATAATTTATATTTAATTTAAAGGATTATGTTGTCATCGTACTTCCTCAGTGGATACAAATTCATCAGTGATAACATCAACAGCAACAACAACAACAGTTAGTTTATGCTATCAGTATATGTTGAAAGAAGGTGAATTATGTGAAGATTCATGTCAGTGTGAAGCACGATTACATTGCTTTCGAAGTTCAAATCAATTAAAAGGAGGTAAATCGATGACAAAATCAAATCGCAATACGGTATTACTTTATTTTTTTCTGAACTTTACCCTTTATCTATCTTCTTATATATACCATATCATGCAATGGGTACGGTACATTGATATCGAATTTTTTTTCAATTTATCTTACATAGAAGTATCATTTTCAATGTTTTCAAAGATTAAAATTGATCAGTGTAATATTTTGTAATGAAAATGATAGTAATGAATATTTTGTTTTTATGAGATTGCATTATGAAACTTAGCGAAATGGCGTGATAAGAGAATATATACGATAAGGGAAATAAAATTAGATGATGTAAGGGTTAATTTTTATTTATTTACTAATTTATTGGTTTAATTAATTATTTTAAAGCAATACGCAATTTGCAAGAAGGCTTCCACCAGTGATATTGTGAACGGAATATATTTGAACTCAAAAGATTCATCGTTTCACATAAAACCACCAATATATCAACACTAACCTACCGTAGTAACGTTCTTCATTTATTAATACTTTAATTATTGATATATTTCTTTTTTGTCTCTCCCTATCTCTCATGTTGCTTAACAGGTTTTAAAAAAAAAAATTTTCAAGATATTTTATGCTTTTTATGAATCATTTTATCCGTTGTTGATTTTCGAAAGATGGCATACTAATTAATAATTATGATTTCCTGTTTATTTATTCTCATTTCATTCCATTGAAGTGAACTGTGTAGGATTTGTTTAGTCTTTCGATTCAAAAATATTGATTCCTATGGTCAGGATATTGTGAAATTTTCAAAAGCTTCATGATAACAATTTATCGGACTGATAATATTTTACAGGAAGTCAGTTCATTTTCAGTATGGCATAAGTCGGAAGAAACTACGGTGTTGAAATAATATGACATTCGCATTTACTGTACAGCTATCGTCTTGTCCCTAGCCAAATCGATCTTTTTTAGTGTTGTTTTATTTTGTCGTTGTGAGTGTTAAATTTTATTATTTATATTTTACAATTTGAAATTTCTCGTGGCTAAATTTCATACGGAATTGAAGGGTATATGTAAGTATCTAAATTTTTTCTCCCAAATTATTTAAATATTCATAGAATCCATTAATAGTATTCAACAGAAGAGACAATTTCAAAATAGCACATATGGTTATTGACGTAAATTAAAATTATGATATCACATAATTAATATTTATTTTAGAATGATTAATTTATCAGTATGTTATCACATCGTATGAAATTGAGCTCCTTTTTTACTGTTTCAATTTTGAATCTATAATTACGTGATATTGCCTTCTATATAATAATATTCAATAACTCTTTGACGTTTTTCTACGTAAAACACTTACTAATAGTTGTAGCATTATTGTTTTTATTAGATTTAGATTAATTCTACTTGCAAAGTTAGTCTTCCACGGAAGATTTGACAAATTTAATAAGTGACAGTCATTTGTGAAGCCACTTAGTAATACATAGAAGGCAGTTTAGTTTATTGAATTAGATGAAAATGATATTTATTGCATGTTAAAATATTCCTTTTTTGTAAAATTTTATTTATAATCAATTTTGTTTATTAATTATAAATAAAACAAAAATAAAACATTTGGATGCATTTTGATCTCGTCATTGTACAAAGAGCTTCATCTTTTAAGCTTAATTATCGTCTCGTGAATGTTGTGCTAATGTAATTGTATATTTCCATTACTCCCTCTCTCTCTCTCTCTCTTTCTTTCTTATTAATTCAGTTATTATTATTGTTATTATTATTATTATTATTATTTATCATTATTTATTATCATTTATTATTTATTATTATTTATTATTCTTTATTCTTTATCCTTTATTCCTTATTCTTTATCCTTTATTCTCTATCCTTTATTCTTTATTCAATAATATATGATCGCTTATTTGTTGGATATTATCCTTTCTTATTAATTCTTTTTTATCAGTAGTTTATCAGAATCTTTTATGATGAAATATGTAATGTTCTGATAATTAACACAGTATATCTTTTCCTATTTATTTGATCAAAAAATGAAATGAAATTTGAATTTTTTATAAAATATAGTGAGGTTTATTATAGAATCTTTATTCACTTCGCTGAAAACGCTCAGTTTTCTTTTTCCGGTAATTTTTTACTTAAATTTTTGTGGAATTTAAACGGTACAATGCTTTAAAGTGTATATAATCTCTTTTTTGCTGACACATCATTTGAACGCTATTTATTTAATTGACAGCTTTCTATAAAAGATATTTATCATTCATCCTCTATTTCACTTTTTCTTTAATTGCTAAATCATTTCTGATTTCTCTTTTACAATAAATTTTCTCAAAGCTTTTTTTAGCAAAAAAAGCGATCAATGCTAAATTCATTTAGTGTAAGTTAAACTTTCGATTTAAAATTTAATATAATTATTTAATTAAATTGCTTATTGGTATGATAAGAGGGATAAGACGAGAAAGAGAAATAAATTATCCTTTTATACAAAAATAGTCATTGTCGGTTTGGTTAGTGTCACATTTCTATTTTTCATAATGCTAAATTAAAATAAAACAATTCGACTAATTGATTAGACTAATTAATAATAAAGAATACTCTTACAAAATTTAATTCAATTTCATTCATTCCTTTTAATTTAGCAAAAAACCAAATTTTGATGAGAAAATGAAAATGAAATTTAGAATTAGTAATAAAAGCTGGCAAATACGTTTTGTATGAAATAAATTCATTAATTTAAACGAAATACTTTTTTATATTTTTATGTTTTATCTATCAAAGAATTATACTTAACTATATTATTTATATATTAGCTATTACTTTAGGATAGATTGTAATTTAGAATAACTTATCTTCTTCGTCTTGCGAATATTAAATTTAAATTTAATTAATTAAAGTATTCTTAATTTATCATGATTTATCATGATTTAATACAATCGATAATTTTGCCAATTTGTATTTTTTGTTTTTCGTAATTTTAATGAATTTCATTTGTTTAACATAAAAATTTAATACTTTTTAATGATATTTTGCATTATTTTAAATGAGTTTATTTTCAAAAATATTTTTTTTTGAAATAATTTAACGAAATTTATTTTCCTTTTAATTTGTATTTATAATTTTGTAATAATTTCAACAATTTGTCATACTTTTTTGTGTGTTTCATTTACTTATTTATTTATATTTTATATAAATTATTTTCTTCATTTTAATAATAATTCTCACTGTAATTTGCTTTGTTATGAAACTTTCTTCTTATCATTGTGATTTAAATAAAATTTAATTATGATAATAAAAATATGTCGAAATAGTTTAAGTATACAATCTTTAAAAAACCTAAATATATTAATACAATTATTATTTATTTCACTTCCAGAAAAATTTGTCAATTTGGAATTAACACCGAACATGAAATTGAAATGACAAATTTAATCAATCATCAAATTAATATTTCGATGCTAATTTATTGCTAGCACACATTTCGTTGCATTATATATGTTACTGAAAAGTTATGACAGAATGCTAATTTCAGATATACATGATAATTTATGTTTCTTTTTTTTGAATAGTATTATCGAGAAAAAGGAAGTACCATAGATTTTGAATCTTTAAATTTGAATTTAATGTTATCTTACCTTACGTTTGATAATCAACCTATATTGATAGATTTATGCTTAGTTATAATTAAAATGTAGCAGCATTATTTTGGTTCCTGAAATTTAAAAGTATTATTATCAAATCAAAAGAAAAGAGTGCAAAGAATATTTCAACGAATTAGCGAATCTAAAATTTTCTTCATATATAATAATATATGATGAAAAAAATCTCTATTTCTAATCTCCTGTCCTTCCGCAGCATTTATTTATCCCGCATACGACGATCATCTTCTGTCCTCCCGCAACATTTATTTATCCGCATACGATCACCTTTTTTCCTCTCGCGGCATTTATTTTATTCTTTATTCTTCATTCCTTATTATTGTATTATTGCTAATTATTATTATTAAACGATTACAACTATCCAAAACATTGCTTTAATTAAGCAGTGTTTAGCATTAATTCTCTAATATCAAAGTTTATTTTAATCATTTCCTTTTTTTATTTATACTTTAATTATTTCATTAAACTTTTAGACTTTATTTTTTTTCTGTCGTCGGACCTTCAAAAATGTGTGACATAACAGTTTAAATGCGATTTAATTTTTTTTTAATTTTCTTATTGTTTTGCTTTTCTATTTTCTTTCACAAAAAGACTATATAAAATATGCAAATTATTTTATAGTTATGATAATTTGGGATAATTCCAATCTGTAATTTTTACATCTGAAAAGTTATGACGAATTATAATGCTAATTTTAGGTATGCGTGATAATTTGTTTCTTTTTGAAAAAGAAATGTCATAAATTTTGAATCTTTAAATTTTAATTTAGTGGTTTTACCTTTAGTTTAATAATCATGTAGTATTGATAAATTTATGTCTAATTATAATTAAAATGTGGCGGCACTTTTTGATTTCTAAAATTTAAAACTATTATCATCAATCAAAAGAAAAGCGAGCAAAGAATATCTTATCATTTTAGCGAATTGAAAAATTGATAAGATAAATATATAAATCGCTTCTTGCTTCCTCCCTCTCTCTCTTTTTCTCAGAGTGGTAAAATTTTTTCTCTTATCAGTACAAAGAAATGCAAAGCTATCGAATTATTATTTTCCTTTTCTCTTTTCTTCTAATCGTCGAATCAATTGGTTACTGTAAAATTGTCAAAAAGTATTATCATTTTAATTTCAAATACTTCAAATTTTTCATTAACATAATTCATTAAGCTAAATTTAATAAATTTAAATTTTCAAATAATAACAAAACTAAAATAGCAAAGGATTATTTGAGAATTATTTAACATAAAATGCGAGAAATACAATACTTTATTATATAATATCACCGATAACTTATTCAAATATCTTCATATATTTTCATTTTACAAATTAAATTTTTTCATTTCTTTTTCAAAAAAGTTAAATGTAAATGCTATTAAATTTTAATTTGTCTGCTTCATTATTTCAATTAATATATTTCCGTTTTATTATTCCAATATTAGAAACAAAAATCGACAAAAACGCGAAAGTGTGATAAAGGAGTGTAAGAAGGACGGGAAAATTGAAGCGACAAAAGTGATAAATTCGAAAGGATCTGAAGTGTTCATTTATTAAATTCAACAAACAATAGTTATAATTAATTTTAATTAGCTATCATATTTATAAGTATATTTTTCTTCAATAATATTCTTCAATAATATTTGCAAAGAATATTATTCATTATCGTTTTATTATTGTTATTTATATAATGATTTTTGAATGCAAAGATTATCCAAATCTCTTTTTCGAATTAAAAAAATTCATTGTTCAAGTAATTATCTAAACACTTGAATACTTCAATTATTTATTTTGCAGATGGTATCGGAACATGGAGGAATCATAAAAGCAATTCAACAGCAACAACAGAAACCGTATACTGAGTTCAAAAGTTCAAAAGAAATTATGGCCTATGAACATTGCAAACTTTCGTGCAAGAAAATGAAAAATGGCTTAAGCGTTAATGAGGTCAATTGATAACTTGAATTTACGTGAAATTTGACAGAAGATTTCATCTTATATTTATTCTAACTTTTCAAAGCAGCTTATTAATTCTTTGCAGTTTATTAAATTTATCAATTTGTGATTGTTTTAGCAATTAGCACTTGACAGTTATCTTTTAAAATGCTAATTAATTAAAAAAATTTTTTCAAATTTTCTTTGTTTATTATAAATTTAAATGAAATTGTTTGAATCATCGAAAATTTTTAACAAATTTCTATGTGATTTTAGTAATTTTAATAAATAATTTCATTGTAATAAATTTGCTATTAATGTAAACATAAAAATATTAAAAGTTAATGGCAAAGAAAAATGAAAACTTTTGAAATTTATAATATTTTTCTTTTTGGTTTCATTACTGTAACAAAAAATACAATTCATTAATTAATTTATAATTTATTACAGTATGTAAAACAGTTACGTGAAGAGTTGAAGCGAACAGAAATATTATTAACTGATGAAAGATTGCAATCTCAATCTGAAATTTCGAATATTCAGCAGGAAACGATTCCGGATTTCGTAACTGGTTTTAATGTTAAGAAATTGAAAGCAGAAAAAGAAAAACGGAGCAATCTATAACATTTAATTATAATAGTTTATTATAAAAGTTCTTCTCAAAATATAATTTAATCTACTTCATTCCATCGTATTCGTTGAAATTTAATTTGTCATATTGTTTTTATAATAGAAACTTAAAATTTTATTAAATTTACATTTAAAAATTTCCTCCTAAATTTTCTTGTAAAAATTGTTTAAAAAAAGTATAATTAAAAGTTTTTTGTGTGTAATTGATTAAAATGAATGAATATACATCGATTATTTCTTATCCGTAATGTTGACCTTATTTCATAATGAGAAACGGTGCTCACACCTTCTGCTACCTGTTTATAATTAATACCTATTAATTTCTCGTCCATTCTATTTATTCTTTTCCATGCCTTCTCCTTCGCTTATTCCAAATAATTTCTTACCATTTTTTTTGAAATAATATTTACTTTTGTTTATACCTTCTTATTTGCTTTTTTATCTCTTCCTAATTATCCAATCGGCGATAGAACAAGAAATTTCGTTGAATTAATTATTTCATTGTTAATTGCGACTTTTTTGGGAACTTATTGAGATTTAAAGATATAATGAATTTTAGTCTCAATTTTTAATCCTTTACAAAGTAATAATAAAAATTGTTTGGGAAATATTAATGAAAATTTTATTTGTACTTTTTTTCAAATTTATAAGAAATAAATTATTGAAATAAATTTGAATATTAATTAAGCAACAAAATGGATGAAGTGTAGATGAAAATTTGAATTGAAATATATAAAGTTTCCATTTATTATTTGTGACAGTCTTCTTGTTAATGAATAAATTAACACCAATTGTTCTCTACTGTCATGGCCTTGGAGCAACAGCACAAAGCGGAATTGCACTAATTGCTAAAGAATTTATAGAAAGCCGAGGATTACAATTTAAAAGGTTTACAAGTTCCCAAAAATTGTTAATAATTTCATAAATTTTCATCAATTTTCGTTTTCTTTTAATTTTAGGGAAATTTTAATAGAAATAAAAACATCGAAATCTTTCTCATTAATAAAAAGAAAATTTTATTTATAAAACATATAAGAAATATAATTACTTAATCGATTCTTCTTTTAATTCTGATAAGAAGAAATCTTAATTAATTGATTATCGTATATTTGTTAATGTATTTATCAAAAATATTTTTCATTTCTAGAAATATTCTTCCGTTTATTATTCCATTAGTTTCAAAAATTAAATTAAAATTATTTCATTAATTTAAATAAATAAATTATTAAAATTATTTCATTCATTCCTTTTTTTCTTCTCTCCTCGTTTTTCAGCATTGAATATCGAAATTTTGGATATAAAAATTATATTTGGAACGTTGACGACTGGCTTAATGATTTATTAATAAATATTGATGAATGTAGTAAACAACAACGATTATCCTTACTTTTTGGCAAATATTTCTTTCTTTTTTTGAAGATTACTTCATTAATTTCTTTTTCTTTTTAGGATTTCATTTCTTAATTTAGCTAATCCTAATTTACCATTTCCTAATTTACCCTTCCATTTCAATTTTTTTTGATCAATTTTCAATAATTAAAGAAAAAGTTTTTTTTTTGAAATTGTCAATATTTTTTGCTATGTGAAGGTTGTAGTGCTGGTTGTCATGGTATACTTCGTGCTACGTTACTAAAACCGCAAGCTATTTGTGGCCTAATGCTTTTATCACCTGGTGTAGGCCTAAGCTTAAAATCATATATTCACACCGTTATGCCACAATTTTGGGAAAAAATTTTGGCTGAAAAAAATGTCCCACATCCGTCAATTGCTAAACATTTTCCGCCAATTATGGTCAATCGACAATGTCTGCAACATTTTGTTGATGTTAATATTATTCATTTCATTTATGCTTTAGAAATATTTGTAGCATAATTTATTGATTGATTTTTATACTTATTGATTGATTGATTAGTTGTTGCAAAACTTGAACTATTTTAATTTAACTATTAAATTAGTGGATGGATTTTTTTAATTTAGTGATATATTTGTCTTTTTCTAAAATTTTTCTTTTTCAAAGAAAAAATTAAATTTTAATTCCTCTAAAGTTAAAAAGTAAATTTATATACATTCAGACTTGTGTATGCAATCGAATGACATCAATTCCCATTCATTGCCCTGTGAGAATTATGCATGGATCTGATGATAAGGTAAATTTAAATTTCGCGAAAGTTAATTGCTTAATTAGCTAAGTTCTTTGTATGATTAGAAAAAATAGCTCAAAACATTTAAAATGATTCTGTTGAATGTAAAATTTTAGAGAGTTAAATTAACAAATTGATACCGAACAATTTAAGATGGAAAAAGCAATATAAATTCAATTCAGATAGTTCCATTACTAAATGTGAAAAAGTTTAAAGAGAAATTAGAAAGTAAAGATGTTATCCTATCGGCAATTCATGGTTCGGGCCATTATTTGCAAGTGAGTGAAATTTGTCGCGCATTGAAATTTTAAATTTTCTCCGTTCTAACCCATTTATATTTTTTTTCATTCATTTTTTGGAAACTTTTATGCTTCCAAGTTTTTTATTTGTTTATGTTAGATTGAAATAGTAAGGAAATGCATACATTAAATTATTAATTATCATCTTCAAAGTGACAAATTGTAAAATTTCAGCTTGCAACAGAATTTGAAGAATTATTCGATTCTCTTCTTTGCTCAGTGCAACAAACTGATAACCGAATATTGTGATTCTATCATGGTTATGAACCATCATAACGATGATTTTATTGCGATTATGATTCCATTATGATTATGATTCTGTTGTGATTACGATTGTATTATTATTATTTTTTGTATAATCTGCCTATGATTTATTTAGAAATATCACAACAAAAATGGTACTAAATATTTAATTGAGAAATGAATTAACATTATAACTTAATTAAATAAAGCAATAGTTCAATAAGCTGTCAGTGAATATTTTAACAAAAAGCAACAAATATTGTTTTATCTCAACTTGAGCTTTAAATCATTTCAACCAAAGTAATTAATTGATGGCATAGTTCATTTGTTAATTTACAAGTTATTAATGAATGAGGCGTGAAGATTTCGAATTGATGAGAGTGTGAAAAATGTTCGAAACCGAAATTCGAAGTTGATCTTAAATTGATAATTGACAGTGATGTGAGGTAAGTTTTTAAAATATGAAATTAATAGGCGACAATAATATGACGTGAGAAATTTGAAGTTGATATTGACAATAATTAAAATCAGAAGTTGACATTTATACTTACAATTAAACGTATGAAAATGGTTTAATAAATAATCGGAGGAATAACTGCATATTTAAAATTGATGATCGATGATTAGTTTTGTATTTACAATACGATTTTTATCCTCGTCAGGTGAAAAATGAGGAGAGTTACGGAAAGAGATGAATGGAAGAGAGAGAGAGAGAGAGAAAAGTAGAAAGAGAAGAGGTAATAATTGATTTAAATAAACAGATCGTCGTTATTTGACGTAAAATGCCATGATCGTTGCCAGGCAGCAGGAAAGCGATGACAGCATCTATTCATCCATCCATCCATTCCACTATTATTGTTGCATTGTTGATGAGTTAAAATTATTGATAACATTCTCTTTTGTTTGTTAAACTTTTTTAAGATTTCAAAAATAAATTCAAATTAAAATGTTTACATTTCATATGTGATCTATCAAAATGAAATGAAATGAAATGTGTTCTTAAGTCGTGTATATCAATAATGTGTGATTTATTTTCTTCCATAAAGCTGCAAAAAGATCATTATTAAATTCTCTTCTATTATGACGTAAAGATATCTTTTATTGTGGCGTAAATGTCTGATATCGTCAAGTAAAGGTATTGCTATGTATGGTAACGCAGAAGTTGTCATAAACTTTGTGAGAACAACTAATTTGATTATAGAAATGGAGTAGTTGAGAAAAAGAACACCTATGTTTCTATTCTAACACCTGTTCAAATGATTTCTTGAATGATTAAATCGGTGGGCGAATGTGGGTGTGAGGGTTATGTGCGTGTGTGTCGTTATAGCAACATCTTAAAATTTTCTCATTCATTGCAAAACTTCGCTCACTTAATATTGTTATGATATTTGCTATTCTTTTTATTCCTCTCTCTCTCTCTTTCTCTCTCCTTCACTTAGAATAGTCTTCATTTTTAGGCTTCTACTATATAAAATTTGAAAATTCATTTCAATTAATTAAATTACAATTGAAGAATTCAAAGAAAACCTTTGATGCTTAAATGATTGATTCATGAATGACTTAAAACGATCCATTCTTTCATTTATTATATATTTTCAATTTGAAACAATTCTTCGTTTTTTTTTTGTTTAAATTTTGAAATGAAATTTATAAATTTGTATAAATATAGTGTGGAAAGATATAGAAAGTAATTGCAATATTAATTACAGTTTTTTTGATTCATTAAAATTTATATAACCTATAAATCCTATGAAATCAATACAGAATTTCGAAGTATATGACGAATTTGCTTTTATATTATTTTATTTGATTTTTTGCTACAAAATATTTATAAAAGTAAAAGTTCAGTAAATGGAAAGGAACGAAGTTCAAAGAAATATTTTTCCCGAGGGGATTAAAAATTTTTGAAATCATTGATGAAAAAAGGGTTGATGGAATTTTAGATATATCGTCATTGTTATTATCTCAGCCATTTCAATCGTTTGTTTGTTTCATTACTTTCATCAATTTATAAACAAATATTTCATTCATTTATGGTTTATGTAAGCTAAATGTTTGTAATATAATTTATTTGAAATTAATCGTTAAGCTGAAAAATTATTTGCATTGAAAAAAGTTCACATTTCAAAATTTTTTCCTTCATTTTATAATTTTTACTTTCAATTCAAAAGTTCGATATCATTAATTAAGGTAAAAATTTTAACGTTGTCATTTTATTCTCGGATCTCATTTGGATTGATTGTATTATTGTATTTTTTTTCTAAGTGACAAAATATAAATTTGAATTTTATTTAATTTCCCTAATGAAAATATTTGAGTAAAATGATGAATTGAAATTTTAGAAGAGGACGGAAATTAAAAAAGGAATAGGAAAGAAAAAGTTTTTTTAAATTCTGTTATACTGAAAAACTTTCTTCCTTAAGTTGAATTAAACAATCAATGAATTTGTTTTATTTTTTGCAATTGAGAAAAAAGAAATATTTATTTTTAAATTTCATTTTTTGTTTTGTCATCGTAGCATAAAATTTCTTATTCAAACAGCGAAAAACAAAATGGATGAGATAGTGGGATGAGCAGAAATTTGTTTATCATTTTATGAATTGTTTTGGGACCAATTCAAAATTTTGTTTAAACTTTCAAATCTCTTCCACATCCTTCACTCTTTTCTTCTTCAATCCCTTCTGCTATTTTTTCAATGCAAATATTCTTTTGGAATAATTTGCTTGTAAATTATAACCATTTCTCATATTCTCTGTTATGCATTGATGAAAGATAAAATTATAAATTATAAAATTATACCAAATTATAATCATTTTTTTCATAGGTGAAAGATGATAGACAAAAAAGATCAACTTCACGATTATTTATTGCAAACTTTCGTTAGTTTATTGCTTCAAAATAATTTATGCTTTATATATATTAAATTTATTGAAAAAGTTTCAAAACGGTTCTCGAACTTGCCAGATCGAATTATCATGATATTGATCTTTTCTAACTAAAAACCTTTTACATATGAAAAAAGCTTCATAATTTAATACATGATAAAAAATGCATAGATATAGCAAAAACACACATACACATATGATGTATACGGTAAAATAGCAAAAAAACACGATGATACATACGATAAAAGTACATTAACGAGGAATATAAACGGTATAATAAGTGCAATATATTATAAATATTTCGGTAGGAATAGGATAATAAAAGACGCGATGATACATGCGATACAAATGTAATGATACTTAATTTTTAAATATTATAATCATTCCTTCCTTCTAAACAATCTATCGCTTAATTATTGTGATATTTTCTGATTCTTTTGCAATTCCTGATAATGAATTTTTGGAATTTTAAAAATGGGAAAGAGTCAACTAACTAAACCCATCTGCTTCTTTACGTATCATTGCAGTAATAAATCATATTTTCATTTATAGTCAATATTTCTAAAATTTATGCTTTATAGTAGTAATAAAAAAGATAACCATTGATAAATTATCAGTACAGTTTTATTCTGTTTAGATTTTTTGAATATAGAGAACCTTTTTCCAACGAAACATATTTTACCTTTGTACATTGAACTTATAGTATATTACAGTTAATTTATTAATTCATTCCATTACTTTCATTTTCGGTTTGTTTCTATTATTTCGGTAAATTTTTCTCTTTTCTATAAAATGTGAAATATTGATTTCTTTTAATGAATGAATCGTTTTGTTGACAGTGTTTTGGTGAAATAGCAATATTATCAATAAAATGATTTATAACAAATTTTCTTATTAACAAAATGTCATTGTAATAATTTTTTAATAATTTCAGAAAGATGTCATAGAAATTTAAATTTCTGTGCGCTTCTTCTTTTGTTTCCGTAAATCACTTGTTTTAATGAATTATTCAATTTGAAATACAAAAAAATCAATTCATTATTTTCTTATCATTTTCTATTATTAAGTAAAATTAATTAATTGTATTGTTCAGACAATCAAATAAATAACATTAATTTGCACCTTTTGATATATTTTCTATTAATAAGTAAAATAAAGTAAATTTATAACATTTTATTGTTAGATAAAGTGATAAGAGCTATGCATTTTAAACTTATTATGTATGATATTTGTGCGAGTTAGGCTTTCTTTGCAATCAGGCCTTCTAGATTATTCGTATCCAAGGCTAAACGGAGCCTAGACATTCTCCTATAAGCCTATAAGCCTAGATATTCTCAACTTTCAATAAAGAACGAAATTGAATCATTTTTCTATTATCTTTTTCATTTTACCCTTTAAATATCGAAGAAAGAATGAGAAAGGTCAAGTTTAAGTAATAAAATATTAAATTGAACAAATCATTAATATTACTTAATTGAACAGTAATCATTGATCCCTTATATTATTCAAATTGAATTGAATCTGTCAATTAAATTGCCATTTCTTTCAATTTTTGAGAATAGATTTGATGTTAAAAGTAGCTGTACGAAATTATAATGGACGTTGTGAATTTATTGGAAATTTAATGGGATCGATCGGGCCATACTGCAATAACCATAACATTTTTGTTTGATGGATGGGACATTTGTATGTCTGTGTGTTGTGTTTATGTGTGTGCGTGTTGTGTGTGTGTGTGTGTGTGTGTTTTGTGTATGTTTATGTATGTGTTGATCCAGTTATAGTCTTCGAAATTTAAAAATAATCGATATTTTGCACCTCATAGAAATCACAAGTCCAGCAATAATTTGACTTCATCATTGAGCTGAAGTGACAAACGAACTGAATAAAGTCTTCAGCAATTTCAGTTGAAATCTTAGAGTTGGGTTAAAGGTTAGACTATTGAAATTATCGAAAACGCAAGCAATGGATGGAATAGATGCGATGATTTTAGTAAAAAGTTATCTTTTAAAGTAGCTCATATGTGACCGCTTCACAGGAATGATCGAAGCAGATGATATGATTATGATATGATAGTAAATTGGATTATTATTTTTCAGCTCAATTCTTGCACTTATTCGGAAC